TAAGATTTTTTAGGTCATGACCTAGATTTTTTAGGTCATGAACTAGATTTTTTAGCTCGTGACCTAGATTTTTTTAGGTCACGACCTAGATTTTTAGGTCATGACCTAGATTTTTTAGGTCATGACCTAGATTTTTTAGGTCATGACCTAGATTTTTCAGGTCATGACCTAGATTTTTTAGCTTTTTTTAGGTCATGACCTAGATTTTTTAGGTCACGACCTAGATTTTTTAGGTCAAGAACTAGATTTTTTAGGTCATGACCTAGATTTTTTAGGTCATGACCTAGATTTTTTAGGTCATGACCTAGATTTTTTAGGTCATGACCTAGATTTTTTAGGTCATGACCTAGATTTTTCAGGTCATGACCTAGATTTTTTAGCTTTTTTTAGGTCATGACCTAGATTTTTTAGGTCACGACCTAGATTTTTTAGGTCAAGAACTAGATTTTTTAGGTCATGACCTAGATTTTTTAGGTCATGACCTAGATTTTTTAGGTCATGACCTAGATTTTTTAGGTCATGACCTAGATTTTTTAGGTCATGACCTAGATTTTTCAGGTCATGACCTAGATTTTTAAGATTTTTTAGGTCATGACCTAGATTTTTTAGGTCATGAACTAGATTTTTTAGCTCGTGACCTAGATTTTTTTAGGTCACGACCTAAAAAATCTAGGTCATGACCTAAATACATCTTGATCAATATTCTCTCTCAATTCCTTCTACTTTTCAGTTCATCGAAACAGAAAAAGTTCTTATTAAAAAAAAAATTATTTTAAAAAACTCCTCGGTTTCATAATTGCTATATTCTGAGTATCTATTTTTCAAAGTTCATTTCACTCAACAAGTATTCACTCAACATATAACGAATAAAATAAAATCTAAAAATGTTAACTTTTGCAAATTGCTGTTATATGTTGTTTGATGTTGTATGATGATCAAAATAGTTTCTCAATTTCCCCAATCTGTCAGTTCATTGAAACACAAAAAAATAAAATAAAAAATACATGTTTTTTTGGTAAGACAATTATAACGAAAAATTCGATTGTTTAAAATTTCCATTTTTGTAATTCCCGATTTTTCAATTTTAATCGAATTGGCCAATTTTTCATTTCATAAAAAGTTGACCAAATTTTCTCCTTCAAAACATTTCATTTCAAAACAGAAAACCCCAAAAAACTCCTTTAAAGGTGGTACGACATGAAAAAAAGAATGTTCTCGAAATTCCGTTTAAATGTGCCCCGCGAGGAGTTGAACTTGTGGGAGCGATGATTGAGGGTGCGGCGCCGCCACCGACTGAGCCACGCGGGCAAAGAGAAAGCGCACTCCCGATTGCATACATAAAGGCGAGGACGGCAGCTGTACGCAGAGTGACATTAAGCGTTGTACACCGTCACGATAGAATGCGTACTCTAACTCCAAATAACCTCCGAAAAATCTCCTGTCCCCCCATCTTTAAAACCTCAAAAGACCCCCACAGAATTCCCTGAATTTCTTTTCCGTCAACGAAAACAACAAATTTTCAGATTTTTGCGTAGCACATTCCTTCTTTACTCTGCTTTTTCCTTTTCAGCTGTTCGTCGAGGAGCTGTTTTTTCAGAAGCTGTGTCGTTTTCTCTGCCTCTCTCTCTCTCTCTCTCTCTCTCTCTCTCTCTCTCTCTCTCTCTTTCTTTCTTTCTGCTCACATGAGCACCGAAACAGACAGGATAACAAATTAGGACCTCGACAATAACAAAAAAGAAAGAACGAAGGGAAAAAAGGGGAAGACAGACTGAAATAAATTTTTTCTGAAAAGTTCAGAATATGGAAAATGTCTGGATTATGCTCTAGGTCCTTTTTTAAAATTGTTTAATTTTCGAAAAAAATTTAATTTGCAAAAATACCCAAAATTGAGGATGAATAGGATCTTCCAAAAATAGACCAATAGTGAAACATTGAAAATCTAAAAAACAACATCTTTCAATTTTTAAGTAATTCCAAAAATTTTGAAAATTCCGGAAAAGTTTAAAAAAACTCCATGAAAATAAGAAATTTGGGAAATAGTGAAAAATTCTAAAAATAATTTGCTATTTCAGGAAGTTTTTAAGATAAACAGGAAACTTCCGGTAAATATAAAATAATGATATTTTGAAATAGTCAATTCTGTTTGCTAGAAACAAAAATTAAAAGTTCCTAGAAAGTTTTTTTTTCAGATTCATGAAACTGATTTCGATAATCTTTTTTTTTTGTATTAATGATTTGATCGCGCGTTTTTCTGTTTGTATTTTAACTTATTAAAGGTGGGGGGACATGAAAAAAAATGTTCTCGAAATTCCGTTCAAAGATGCCCCTCGAGGAGTTGAACTTGTGAGGGCGATGATTAAGGGTGCGGCGCCGCTACCGACTGAGCCACGCGGGCGAAGAGAAAGCGCACTCCCGATTGCATACATAAAGGCGAGGACGACAGCTGTACGCAGAGTGACATTAAGCGTTGTACACCGTTACGGTAGAATGCATACTCTGGCCCCAAAAATCCCCCGTAAAATCTCCTGTCCCCCCACCTTCAAATAGTTTCAAGCGGGCCGGTTGATAACTTGTCCCTAGAACGAGATTTTCAGACGGATTTGGTACCAAGTGATAGATCTCGACAGGGCCCACCGCGTCTATATCATTTGATCCTAATTCCAGTCCGATAACATGTCGAAAAATGTGTTTGAATAACAAAAAACCTGTTTTTTGTCATATTGATCGAAAATTGTCATTCAAGCCCAGGTTGCGGCATGTTACCAGAATAGAAACAGGCCTAAATGATATAGGCGTGATGGGCTCTGTCGAGATCTATCACTTGGTTCCAGAACTGTTTGAATATCTCGTTCTAGGGACAAGTTATCAGCCGGCCACCTGCCCCGGCCGGCCCAATTGCAACTATGATTTGTTTTAATTTTTAAAAGATGCCATATTTCAAATAGTTGTAGCTATTTTTGAGAAGGTTTCAAGGAATCAACAATTATTGCTAAATAGTCAAATACATATTTCTAACAGGCTTGCAAAATCAGGGCCCGGCCCGGCGGGCCCGGGTTCTCCAAATTTGAAAAAAAATTCTGAAAAAAAGCAAGGCCCGGCCCGGCCCGTTGCGAGAATGATTTCTAATTGGAATAGTGGAACCGTATATTTTTTTTCAAAAATTTTGCGGTTTCACATATTTTGTATAGTTGCCATTCAGAGATTTTGAAATTGGACCCTCGTTATCAAAAAAAAATCTGAAGATTGAAGCAAAAACCCTGCTTCAGAAGTTATCTCAATTCAAATTATAGTTTGAGACTAAAATTAAACATTTTGAAATCAAATTCTGAAAAAAAAATTGGAAAGATTCTCATGAAACTTCGACATTCCAGAAAAAAAAGCTGACATTTCATGTTCAGTTTGAAACATTATTTTAGAAATGTAATTTTTTCCTTTTTGAAAAAAAGCTGACTTTTAAAAAAAATTAAAATCATATCAGAATGCTGAAAATGATCAATAACCATCTGAAATTCGAAAATTCCAATTAATATGAATTATTCATCACTTTTTCCTTTTTTTTTGCTCCGATCTCGCTTATTTCCCTATTCATAGAATTATGAAGTTTGATCCCTTTTTGCTGCTCATTTTCTGCTTTCTCTTTTCTCTGCTCCGGAGTGTTTTACTCAACTTTTTTTTTGTTTCTTGCAAAAATAATTGGGATCAACAAAACACTTTTTTTCCTGTTTTTCGAAAATTTAGTTTTCATCAAAGTTTTGAAGAAAAAATAGTTATGTCCAAATTATGAAACAGGTTGATTTCAAAAAAATTTATAAAATTGATTTTCAGATTTTCCAAATATTTCGTATTTTTAGAGTTTCGGAACATTTTCAAAAAATTTTCTGAATAAATTTCGAAAAGAATGGTTTCTACATTAGCAACATTGAGGAATTTCTAGAATTTTCCGAAATTTCCAAAATTTGAAAAACCGAATTTTCCAAAATTTCTGTTTCAAATCCCTGATAACAACCATTTAATTTTAATTTGATTTTCACTAGTTTTGGCCTAGATTTTCAAAAACTTACGAAGCTGAAGGTTCTCTGAAAATTTCAAATTTTTCAAACTTTCAGAGTTTCGGATGTTTTTCAAAATTTGAAAAAAATCAATAAAACTATTTTTCTCAAAAATTTAGAATTCGTTGCTGAAGAAGATGGGAATTCATAAATTCAAAAATCATTAAATTTCTGAACAAGTTTCAAAATATTTGTTTTGAAATTTCGAATTTCTAAAATTTCCTAAAACTTCCAAAATCCATAATAACAAAAACCATTAATTAAATTTAATTTTTCCTGGAATTTCTAGAAATTCCCAAAATCCAAAATTTCAAAAAAAATCGTTTCAAATACCCAATAAAATCGCGAATAACCGATCAGTACGATTTCTGGTGGACTGTCAGAATTTTCATAAAAAACCAAATCTTTTATTTTTTCAACCACATGTTTTAAAATCCTTAAACACGTTTTCTCTGCAAAAACGGTCGAAAAAGGGGTGTCTGACATTTTTCTCTGAGTTTTGACACTAGAAAAACAAATACTTGCACAAAATAAAAATATTCTGAAAATTCAAATTTTAAGCTTTATTTCTAGCCAAAAATGATTGAAATCGCTCAAAAACTAACAAAGTTATGATAGTTCAAAAAATTGATTGTCCAATTTTTTTTCCATTTTTCAAAACTATCATAACTTTGTTAGTTTTCGAGCTAGATAGATGGTTCTTGGCTAGAAAAGAAGCTGAAAATTTGAATTTTGAGATTATGAATATTTCTAAGTGCACGAAAACTTTATAGCCGGGCTCCAGACTCCTGAAAATGGGCGAGAATCAACTGGAAAACACGTTTTCGTAGATCTTACTAACCAGTACTGTAGATCTTTCTAAAAATTTCAAACCTTTGTATTTTTCAAAAGTCGTAAAAACTCCAAATCCCTCGAATCCTCCCTTATTTGTTTATAATACTTCTAAAAAGAATCCCTCATTTTTTCCCAGTTTTTACTTCCTGGATTTTCTTAATAAGCTTCTTATATTTTCCCTTTTCACTGATCACACATATTTTTTCTTATATCAAATGCTTTTAACATAACATAATAACTAATCTCATGTGAGCTGATTATATCCCCATATCAGCTGATAAAGCGAGAGCGAGGAGAAGTTGTCTGCGTCTCTTTTCTCTCTCTCTCTCTCTCTCTCTCTCTCTCTCTCTCTTTCTTAGCACACAAACACACCGGAGACTGCGGTGTGTTGTAAACTCACAATCTAGCTGTCTGCGTCTCTCTTCCCTACACACTATTTCTCCCTCCAGCAGCTCACAGTGCTCTTATATTCATTTCCAAGTGGTCTCTTTTTCGCGCTGTTTCTTTTTTTCTACTACTTTTTTTTTTACTTTCTCTACTTTATCAAAACTTCATATACTCCTTCTTTTTCTGCTCCTCATTAGTTTTTCCAATTTACTCCTTCTTTCTCTTTTTCCTTCTTTTCACTCTCCTTCTCCTTCTTTTTTTTCTTATTTTGACGAAAATAGGCAAAAACAGAAAAATAGAAATATTTTTTTCCCTGCTTTTCACATTTTTCTTGTTTCCTTTTTTCTTCTTTTTTTCAGTGAATTTAAGGAGGAGCTGAAAAAAAATAAGACTGGAAATGTTGAAATTTTTTTCCTGACTAATTGTGAAATTGGAATTTCATAAGTTTCTGAAAAAAACTTATACTATTTTTGTATATTATTAGTTTTTATGTTTTTGAAAAAAAATATCTGAAAAACTTGAATTAGTAAAAGAGAAAAAAAAAGAAATTTCAAAAATTTTCTGGTTTTTGAATTCCTGAAAGTTTTACAAATTTCCAGAATTTGCCAAAATTTGATTTTTTGAACGTAGAAGAACAACAACTTTTTTTCATTGTTTTTGAAATATTTCCCCGAAAAATATCTGAAAAACTTGAATCAGAAAAAAAATATGAAACATTTCAAACTTTTGAAAATTTGACGAAATTCCAAAAAATTCCAAATTTTCTGAAAAAACTGAAGTTTTGGTCCTTTCGTATTTTTTTTTGAAAAAAAAAGGTTTTTCTTTGGGGTTTTAGAGAATCAGCTTACAGGTGGGCCCAAAACGCCCAAATCGGGCAGTATCTTCAGACGAAGATTTTCAGCTTCCTGGTGGGGTTATGACCTAGATTTTTTCGTCATCGTGGCGCTTCAATCAGCTGATTGGTTTGATCTAGTTTGATTCAATGGGTCACATAAATCTATACTTATTTTTCAAGTTTTTCAAAACCGGACAGCGTGACACGCAGACCAACCAAGGCTGTCGGAAACAGGGCCGCGGCCGGCCGTGATCTAGGCCGTGGGTATGTTACCGTGGACCAATCAGTATGTTCTTTTGAAAATAAGCTCACATTCAGCCAGCCGAGACCTACCTATTTCAGAAGTGTCCAACCGAAAAAAGCCGCTGCCCTGATTGGACAA